CCCGCGGCTTTTATGGTGGTCGGTAATACCGGTGAGTGGAGCCGGGAGCGGTCCGTTGTGTCGTTGTCGGGAACGCCCGACAGTGACCGAGAACGATTTCTCCCGACCGCTCTTGTGCCTTGAAATGCCAGGAGTGATTCTCGAGGATCGGTTTCGGAGTAAGGCTCAGAGAAGCAAAAAAGGAGACGAGTCTGTTAATCGCCTCGTCTTTTATACTAACTGTCGCTCCCGCTCGTATTGTTCCGGAGTAATTCGGCGCTTTCCGCTAGTGAACAATACGAGCGGGGGTTGACGCGGTTCGGCTCGGTTCGCGCCTGTTCGCCGGTCTTCGGCGGAGCGGCGGTTTCCCGCGGGTTGCCTCGCGATGTTTCGCGGGTCACGGATCGCCGGTGGTACCTGTGAATTGTCTTTTGGTTCGTTTAAAATAATGCGGGCGCATCGCGCCCTCCTCGCTGCTGCTCCTGATAGCAGGGTGCAGCGGCATCCGACGGAAGACTGGTCAGGAATGATGCCTTTGCGGGTGCATCGTTATAGTTCTTTTCGAACTTACGAAAACCAAAACGGAAATTTATTTAGTAATTGAAATATACCAACTAATGATTTTTGTAACTACATTCTGAAATTAGAAGAAATATTTGTCAAAAATTTTGAAAAAAATTGTTATAAAAAATATTGGTAATTTTCTGTTCCAGTTGGCACAAAATATAACTTTTGAACCCCCCACCATATCCTGATTTCTCAAAAGATTTTTTAATAAAATTATTTCTCCGCATGCGTATTTATTACACATTATCGCAACATAATAAGTCATGTAAAACAATTACTCGAAAGAATAAAAAATTTTTAAACAATTTTACATTTATAATTCTTTTTAACTTGTTGCGTTTATTATCTACAGCTGTATTTTCATAATATACTAATTGTAATTTATGATTTATGAGCTCATTATAATTATTATAATTATTTTATTGCATTTTTTACAAGTTTCATTGGCTTTCTTCTTCTTTGGTTCATATCGAGGATAGATCGAGTAGCTGAGATATGATTCAAGAAAAGTTGGACAATGAAATGTATTTCATGGCATTAACTGTTATATATATGTTACTGTGTTTCACATCTTTCCTTAACTCAAATCTTATGTATGTTTATTAATTGCATGCTTTATTTACTTTCAAAGTGCATTATACAATTACATTGTATGTTTACTAATTGAATGTTTTATTTACTTCCAAATTGCATTATATTACAATTACATTGTAAAATTTTCATATAAAATATTTTTTTAATTGCGTATGCCTATTATTTTTATCGTGCATTATTTATTGTTCGTGTGCAATAATGTTGTTATGTACATATTTTTTTAATTTTATACGTTTAATTTTATATGTATGTGTTATAAATATGTTTGCATGTGTATATATGTGTTAATATTGTGTTTGCCAAATGTTTAATTAATTTATCTATTTATATAAGTTTTTACATGTTATAAGGATGAACAACAAGGACAACAAATCAACAATTCCAATGAAGCTTGTGGCTATTACATGCACCGTACATTTTCTACTTATACTAAACATGGAATATATTAAAAATAAAATAAAGAAATGGAAATATACAAAAAAGGGAATATCTTGATTCTGTTCATTAATAAAACATTTTCTTTTAATATTTTAACATGCAGTGTCTTTGTACTATATGCATATTGTATGTTTTAGCATAATTATCAGAATTATTTTATTAATACCAATATATGATATTTGTTTGATAGCAGTCTAATAAATATTTTATTTAATGCTGGTTCGCTGGCGCCGGAGACGATAGCGCGAGCGTACCGCGCGGCTGGCTATCCTTTCTCGTACTGATTAGCAACGCACGCGAAGCCTCGGGATCACGTATCCTTTAAGACGCGCGACTATTGACGACCAATAAGGAGCGAGACTTGTTATCGTCGCGAATGCCTTATTTTCGACGCCAGCACGGGCGAGCGCGTGGATACAACGTGCCGAATTCCAATCTCCAGATCGCTCGAAGGTTGAAAACTGTTTACCTTTACTCAAGCGATCAAGAGACTTCTCGGCGGAATGTAATTTCTGAAGACTCGATACAATATCAAGACAGAATTCTGAACATACCGCCCGCTTTGTATACGAACGAATGCGAAATTATGATGTCGGAATCATCAAGACGCAAGAATTAAATAAATAAATAAAGGAAATACGGTTTAGTAACATTACGTGGATATGGATCCTTGATTGCTTATTGGTAGTTTACATAATTGTGCGATCGAGCGCTTCAACAGAAAATGAGGAGTGCGAACAGTAGCAACGCATACTAGTCCGTCCGTTCCCGGATGGATCTGTTGAATTCTGGTTAGTTCCGTTTTGTTCGGAGGGAGCAGCGAGTTTTTTACAAGAACTAAGTCACCGACAGCGAGGTTAGGCATAGCATTGCACCACTTGTTTCTCTGTTGGAGCGAATTCAGATAATCTACCGATCAGATACGCCATAGTCGCTCGTGCATCGAACGCACGTGCTGCCACCGTGTTAGTCGATTAACATCGACGTCAAGCACGGACTCCTCCGGGACGGTCACCAGCGGGCGACCTATCATGAAGTGACCCGGAGTCAGCGCCGATAAATCGTTAGGGTAATCGGACGCGGATTTAGACAGGCCTCGATTAGGCAGAGAAGCGTCTCGAACTCAACCTGCGAGAGCGTGTGTGATCCGATGATCCTCCTAAAATGTATCATGAAGCTTTTGACGCCCGCTTCCCACAGGCCGCCGAAATGGGGCGCAGCGGAGGGGATAAATTCCCATTTCACTTCGTCGGAAGCTAGAAGGTCCCTCAACTCGGGATTCTTCTTGAAGGAATCGAAATGACTTCGTAGTTCATGAATGAATCGGCGCCATGAAATTTAGTGCCGTTATCGCTCTACATGCGACACGGCAACCCTCGGCGTCCGGCGAATCTTTTAAACGCGGCTAAGAATCCCGCGGAAGTATAATCGTCTACCAATTCAAGGTGAATAGCTTTGGTGACGAGACCAACAAATAAAGCTACGCTTTTCTCGCTTTCTGTCCGCGTCCTACGAAGGAAGTAACGTCAAAGGGCCCAGCGTAGTCCACTTCTGTTTTCTAGAACGGAGGGAAGAGGTTGACGCGAGCAGAGGGAAGGTTCCCTACTAATTGAGAACAGGGTAGCGAGGTATGACGCACACAAGTCACACAATGACGAATGCAGTTTTTCACTGAGCTCCGGCAGCCCAGTATCCAAAATTGTTGGCGCAGCGTTACAAGTTGCGCGCCCCCATGGAGCGTGGCTTTATGTGCCCGTGCAATAAGCAGATCGGAAATTCGATGCCTAGGGAGAATTATCGGATGTTGTTCCTCATAACATCCAGTTAGAGAATTTGTGTAACAGATCCCAATCGTCAATGCTCTCGGCAGATAGAACGACGGGCTTACGTGATTCTCTCGAAACTTGTGATGCAGTTTCAGAATCAATCGACGCGGGAGCATCACGAAGTGGTCAAAAGGTCGACAGTCTTTCGAGCTATGTTGGCCTTGTCCACCATGAATGCGTAGACAGTTCAAAAGCGGATAAACCCCGTGAAGCGCAATCGGCAGGGTTATTCTTGGACGGAACATGATTCCATCTTGCGGAGAGCAGATTTGTCTGAATCTCAAACACACGGTTGGCAACGAAGGTATTCCATTTAGATGGATGTTGACGTAGCCAAGCAAGCGCTATCGTAGAATCTGTCCATACGAATATAGAAGGGAAGGGGGCGTTTTTAAAGCCACTAGAACCTACTTGATTAATCTACTTAACAATACAACCGCGTTAAGTTCTCGGTATACTAAGCGTTTTGAGGGGAGAGACTTTCGTTTTAGCGGTGATTAAGCAGACTTGAATGTCAGTAGAAGGGTTAAGAACGCGAAGATAGACAACAGCAGCGTATGCTCTATTGGAGGCGTCAGCGAAGCCGTGGATTTCAATTGAATAATTATTTTTATCTTGACCCGTCCATCGCGGTATCCGGGCATGATTTAAAGTTTCGATATCAGAGCAATATTTGCTCCATCGCAATTCATCAGGAAGGGGGGGCTTCCCAATCCGTTTTGAGGAACTACAATTCCTGTAGAATTTTCGCGACGATTACAACTGGAGTGGCCCAGTCGAGTCATACAATCTGGCCACGAAAGACAGAATCGAACGCTTCGTCGATTCGCCTTGGAATGAGGCTCGAATGACAAAGCGAAATGTATCTTCGCGGGGCAACCACGAGATACCGAGGACTTTAAGAGTCTCGTCCTGTAATAAGAGATGGTTGATCATATCGGTTTGATCGGTCGATATATCGACTAGCAATTCGTTCGAGTTAGAAGCCTATTTTCGAAGGTGAAAACTTCCTTTCTTCAGGCTCATCATAATAGCTCAATCAATTGAACGCGACAGTTAACGAGCTCTTCGACGTTGTCAGCGCCGAACAATGCGTCATCTACGTAAATCGAGTCATTCAGAACGGAAACGGCAGCAGGATAGCTCGATCTTTCGTCGAGGGAAAGTTGCTTTAGGACGCGCATAGCCAGATATGGAGCTGGAGTGAAGCCATAAGTGACTATAAGTAGCCTAAAATGTGCGGCCTCCAGTGCGGCCTCACGGGACGGTCGCCAAAGGATGCGCTGAAAATCGGTGTCAGAAGGATGAACTGAGATCTGACGAAACATCTTAGCGATGTCAGCCATATAGACGTAGCGCCATTGACGCCAACGCAATAGAATGGCAGAGAGATCCTGTTGCAATTTCGGTCCGACCAACAAATGATCATTTAATGTAGTGCCACTGCTAGTTTTACACGAAGCGTTGAAGACAACGCGTAACCTTGTCGTACAGCTAGAGTCGCGTAAAACCAGATTATGAGGAATATATACCGGATTAACCACATTTTTTTTACAAGGATCAACTTGAATCATATGCCCTAGAGCGCGATACTCGTTTAAGAAGTCATGATATGGAATGAAAATGTCTTCGCGTTGACTTAATTTCTTTTCCATTTTATGATAAAGAGAAGTCGCAATGAGCAACGAGTCACCTATATTCAGATGAGATTCATGCCGGAATGGCAATCGGACAATGTATCGTCCTTCCGTTGAACGGCATGCTCTTCCTCTTCCGTAAAGGGGGGGGAGGAGTTGAGACCTCCTCGCCTTCCCAGAATTTCAGGAGAAGCGAGTTTATGTCTTGAACCGATGCGTGATTGCATACAGCAGTGTTTTCGGATACAGTAGATCCGCGGCCTGTGAGACCAAAAATTATCCAGCCTAAGGCTGTCAATTGAGCGGTAGGAGCACCGGGAGGTCCTTTGCGGAGATCTTGTAATAAGAGAGATCCGTATAAGTTAGCACCAATTAGCAAATGAATCTGGTGTCGACTAGAAGGATCGGGATCCTTAAGCATAAGAGAGACCTTGTGAAGCCACGATTTGAGAGGCTGAGTTCGAGAAGCAGCGTATGACGTAATGCCTTGAAAAACATATGGATTCAACGAGAACTTCGGTCCGGATTGCGTGCGCGGAGCTAATTATAAGGAGACACGAGATTTTGCTAAACTCATATATTTCTCTCCGAAACACTTAATACGTAAATCCGCCCATTATCGTTACGCAACGCTTGACATAATGACTCGGAAATAAAACTGAATGTGAATCCTTGATCCAGTAACGCACGAACTTTAAAACTTCGGCCTTCATTGGTATGAAGGTCGACCCAAGCGATTGCAAGAAGAACGTCGGGAGGCGCAGTGTCCGTTGTAGGCACGGTCTGCACGTTAGCGACGGAAGCGGCGCTTGTGGCGCAGGATGGGCTCGGCGCATTTGGCGTAAACGACTTTGCGCCTGGTTCAAGACGTACTGAATCTCGCAACACGGCAGACTTACCGCCAGTCTCATTATGCAATAGTGAGTGATGTAGACGACGGCATTGCGAGCACCGGAATTTGCTAATGCATTTAGAAGAAAAGTGACCCGATCTCAGGCAATTGAAACAGAGCTTATTTTTATGCGCAAAGTCTTTTCGCTCCTCGATCGTTTTGTGGAGAAACTCTTCGCATTTCGCTATATGATTACCCGAACAACAAACGCATGGAATTGAAGCAACGTTGTTAACAGACGAACGCGACTTACTGCCTTTCGAAACGAACGTCTCACTCAACGAATCAGACAGATCATATAACCCGCGTATGCGTAAAAACTCGTTAATATCTTTGTAAGACGGAATCTCGTCGATTCGGTTACGTATTAGATTCCATTCATTACGAGTCCGAAGACTGAATTTTTACGAAATGAGATAAACTAGAATGTCATCCCACTCATCGACAGGACAATCGAGATTTCTCAAGGCAGCTAGCGAGGAGCAGACTTGAGAGAGTTAGGTGTCGCCTAACTCTCTCAAGTCTTTTACATTCTCCGTTTTCATAACTGGCAGGCTAATGAACGTGTGCAAGTGCGAGTGCACTAATGTTTTCTTATCGTCGTTCAACAATCGCCACGCAGATTCATAATTAGAGTCGGAGATTTTTAAGTTACTGATGAGCCTTGCGGCAGCGCCGGTAATGCTCATTTTCAGGTAATGAAATTTCTGCGTATTTGAGATTGAATCGCTATTCGCGACGAGAGACTCGAACATGTTGCGGAAGCTCTCTCAGTCCGTCAACTTACCGGAGAACTTCGGCAATGCGATACGTGGCAATTGTGAAAGACGATTATTCGAATCGCAATAGAATTATCGCTACGGTTAATTAACGGAGTGGTGGGGCACTCAATGAGTCTACTTAGCGCATTCAGAAGAAAGTCTGACGTTTCCATGTAGATGTCCTCTGCCCTCAAGAACTCGTCATTTTGGTAGTAGGGAAGCATCTTCTGATCCTCTCGAGGGGTTAGCAACCCTAGTTTTACGTTCAGAGGTTGGCAGGCTGACCAAAGCTTTTCCAGTGTTGAAATTCGACTTCAGAGCCGTCACGTTGGATATGACGAGTTTCTTGAAGTTAATTAACACTCGTTAATTTAGAGCGATTCTATCACTTGAAGTTGTTCAGCGAGCAGAGTCTCGGCTTCGGTCACCATTTTGAAAGTGGTGTCGAACCGGACGAAACATTATTAGCGTTGTTCGTAAGGCGCGTTAACTAAGCGAAACGCGTTTGCGAGAGTCACTTGCAGCGAGCGAAGCGCGTTTTACTTCGGTCGCGAGACTCGACTTAACTTGGCGGAGTGCGTATGGCAACGTCCGCTAGATTCACTAATACTGACCGAAACGCGTATAACTTCGTCGCGTGTAGCTGCGTTCGCGAGAGTCACTTAGTTTTTGCGAGGCGCGTTTAGGAGCGGCTGACTTTAATTTAACTCGACGGAATGTGTATGGCAATGTCCGCGAGTTTCATTAACACTGAGCGAAATGCGTGTAGCTACGTTCGCGAGAGTCACTTAGCTTTTACGAGGAGCGTTTAGGAGCGGTCGCGTGACTTTAACTTTACTCGGCGGAGTGTATATGGCAACCTCCGCAAGATTCACTAACACTGAGCGAAACGCGTGTAGCTGCGTTAGCGAGAGTCACCTGCAGCGAGCGAAGCGCGTATAACTTCGGTCGCGAGACTCTAACTTTACTCGGCGGAATGTATGTTGCAGCGTCCGCGAGAGGAGAGCTTTTCACCGTATCTCTTCAGCGGCGATCCGACTCGAAGGACTAATTTATTCGATAGCAGTCTAACAAATATAATATTTTATTTAATGCTAATTCGCTGGCGTCGGAGACGATAGCGCGAGCGTGCTGCGCGGCTGGCTGTCCTTTCTCGTACTGATTAGCAACGCACGCGAAGCCTCGGGATCACGTATCCTTTAAGACGCGCGACTATTGACGACCAATAAGGAGCGAGACTTGTTATCGTCGCGAATGCCTTACTTTCGACGCCAGCACGGGCGAAGGCGTGGATACAAAATGCCGAATTCCGATCTCCAGACACAGATGTATATACTAATACTAGATTGCTAACCTCTGTGATTTAATCGTCAAAAAGTGTATGCGGCAGGATATCCGATTTCAGCCATGTTCGCAACAAAATGGCCGTCTGCTTGTCAGGCACAGCTGTAGTGGCCCACGGATATAGGAAAGTAGGGATACAGCTTATTCTTGCGGGGGTGAAACCGTCAGGGGCAAAGAGATGGTATCCATTACCCTCACTAGTTGCACGCCCTTTCGGCAAAAGTGAGAACTTATTCAAAAATCGTCAATCATTATGTTAAATGTGGTTATGTATTCATATAAGACTTTATGTTTCAATGAATAATTTATATATATTTACTTTTTGTTCTGTATATTTTAAAATATTTTTAGTAAAATTAATATCTAAGATAATATATAATTCGTCGGCTTAATACAAAAATGCCAAGTTTATTTTAGGACAAACTTTATTACATCAAGAAAAAAGTGATAAAAGTTTGGTTGAAATACAATTAAGAAATTAATGTAATTTTTATAAAGAAATATTTTAGTAGAAAAATAATTAGTAAGAATAATTAAATCATCCTTTGTTAATTAATAAGAAAAAATTAGTTGTTCTTAGAAAAAATAATTTTTCTTCTGCAATATTTCTTTGTAATAATTAATATTTCGTTATAATAATTAAAAGACTTTTTTGAGTGTTTTTCAACCAAACTTTTATTATGATCACAAAACCTTTTTTCTCAGTGTAAGATGTAGTTGGATACATAGTAATGGCAATCACCAATAGATCGCGTTACTCGTGAGGGTAATGTGGGGATACACACCTCCATTTCCCGTTTATGTTACCGACAATACACTGTCAAAGAAGTTCCTTACGGTGGCACTAGTAATACACTCATGTAAAGCAAACCAAAATATATATATATATAGACCTAAAGAAGAAGGAAACAAGATGGCTGTATTTTAGTCGTAAGAATAAAGATATTTTTCCAGTCATCCTCGTTCGTACTTGCTTGTTTAACCTCACCAAGCACTAATAAAACGCTCCACATTGGTGACCCCGACGAGGACTTAAAAGAAAAACATTTAATTCGTTCGCGATGGCGGAAGACGATCCCAGCGATCCCTCTCGAGTGGTAGGACACGTTAGTATCCGCCCGCCAAAATTCTCCAAGGAAAAACCGGTAATATGGTTTATATAGATGGAAGCGCAATTTACAACGAATGCAATCATACAGGATCTGACCAAATTCTACCACGCGCTACAAGCTCTTGATGCAGATATACTCGCCGAGGTAAGTGAATTAGTCACTAATCCTCCTGCATCTAATAAGTACAAAGTACTAAAAGCATGCATTTTGAGGGAGTTTCAAGACAGCGAAGAAAAATGTCTGAAAACACTATTAAACCAGACAGAACTCGGCAATCAACGCCCGTCCTGTCTTTTAAGGCACATGAAAGACCTCGTGGAAAACAAAGTATACGACGAACTCCTCAAATCCTTATGGATGCAACGTCTCTCAACTAATACGCAAACAATACTTTCCACTAGCGAAGATACATTAGAAAAGCTCGCAACAATGGCAGATCGAATTCACGATATAGTTTCTACCAACGTTTGCATGGAAGTTACTCCCGCAGCTACAGGAACATCACCCTGGGAAGGCCAACTTTCTGAAATCATCAAAAGGTTAGATCGTATGGAATCAAAGCGCCGCAAGGCATCCCCTCGGCGACGCGAGAGATCGGGCAGCAGGTCACGCACAAGATCCACATCAGCAAGCTCTGGACACTGTTGGTACCACAAATACTTCGATCAGAAAGCCAAAAAGTGTACTTCCCCATGCAATTGGAAGAATAAGTCTTTTTTGTCAGAATAATCTGACAAAAAAGAGGAAAACTAGAGACCGGGGTGACAACAGCGGCCGATACCCCGGATTCGGTTGTACGCCGTCTATTCATTACAGACCGCATCTCTCAAAAGAATTTTCTCATAGATACGGGAGCGGATGTTTCTGTCATTCCTGTTTCACTAGCAGAGAAACGCAATAAGTCAAATTTCACGCTTTGCGCAGCAAATGGCGCACCTATAGCAACATACGGTCAAAGACTACTTCAATTGGACTTCGAACTACGCCGTGCATTTCAATAGCCTTTTCGCCTAACGGATGTAAGTAAACCTATTTTGGATATAGATTTTTTATCACATTTCAACCTTTTAGTTGACATTCGCCGAAGAAGATTGACCGACGGTAACACTAAACGTATCCGGTCGATTGGACAGCATTTCCATTTTGCAAATACCTTTTTCAAAAACCAATACTATATACGACGAATTACTCAAGCAATTTCCAGAAATTACACGAAGTCAAGTAGTTATGAAGAATATTAAGCACGGTGTGATACACGCCATTATAACCAAAGGTCAGCCTGTCACAGCAAAAGCTCATCGCCTCGCTCCCGACAAATTAAAAGCAATGAAACTCGAGTTTGAATTCATGTTGCAACAAGGATTGTGCCGTCCTTCCAAGAGTTCCTGGGCCAGCCCACTGCATCTAGTCCCAATAAAAACCAGAAACTGGAAATGCGGCAACTTTCGCAAACTTAACGCTATAACAGAATCAGATCGCTACCCGATTCCAACTTCTTCAGGACTGTGTATAGTTTTTACACGGAACGACTATATTTTCAACAATCGATCTCGTCCGCGCTTATCAACAAATTCCAGTCAAGGAAGAAGACGTTCCCAAAACGGCGATAATAACGCCCTTCGGGCTATGAGTTCCCATTCATGACCTTTGGATTACGCAACGCAGCCCAAACCTTTCAAAAGTTCATGGATGAAGTCGTCCGAGGACTCAATTTTTGTTATGCTTATCTGGACGATATTATTGTAGCATCCAAAACCCCAGAAGAACATTATGAATATCTGAAACTATTATTTCAGCGTTACAAGATTTTGGCATAGTTATCAATACCACCAAGTGTGTTCTTGGAGCATCAGAAGTTTCATTTCTTGGTTCATTTCAACAAAAAGACTCGCAACATTGCCACAAAAGGTCGAAGCTATCCAAAATTTCCTAAAACCTCAGAATGTCAAAGAGCTCCGTAGATTTTTGGGTATGGTCAATTTCTACCACAGATTCATACCTGATATCGCAAGCGCACAATCCCAGTTACAAGAAGCAATCACGGGGCACAAACAAAGCAGCCAGACTCAGATTGAGTGGACCACCGAAAAAGAAGCTACTTTTAAGAAACTTAAGGACGATTTGGCCAACGCCACGCTCCTCACATTTCCAGATCCATTGGCGCAATTTTCATTACAAACCGACGCATCCGGATCCGCGATAGGCGCTGTTCTGCAACAATGGCAAGATCAAACTTGGAAACCATTAAGTTTTTTCTCCAGGAAACTTACTTCAGCGCAATGTAACTATAGCGCATACGATAGAGAACTTCTAGCGATCTACGTAGCCATTAAACACTCCCGTTTCATGCTAGAAGGTCGTGAATTCTTTGTGATCACCGATCACAAACCACTCATCTTTGCCTTTTCACAAAAACTCGACCGAGCTTCGCCAAGACAATGTCGACAATTAACGTACATTTCGGAATTCACAACGGACATTCGTCATGTTTCAAGCGACAAAAATATATAATAGTTGCAGACGCGCTATCAAGAATCAATGCAATCATGATTCCTGTCATAGTCGACACGGAAGAACTGGCACGCGAACAAGTTACAGACGAGGAATTACAACAGGAGTTGCGTTCTCCATCTAGTTTAGAGCTGCGAAAATTTTTTTACCTGAAACCAACGCTAGTCAGTACTGCGACTGTTCTCAAGACAATATCCATCCATTCATTCCAGTGTCTCTACGACGACGTGTTTTCGACATGGTGCATGGATTGTCAC